TTCTTAAAACCTGTCTCCAGAATTTCCCGGACGGTGTACCGCAGTCTGAAAACCATTATTATAATGGCACAGCTAACCTAACCCAACCTAACCTAACCTAACCTAACCTAGCCTAAACTACCCTGCCTTAACCTAACCAACCGATACACACACCACTACAATAACTTTTCAATTGGACGCTGTAAACTGCACATGTCGGTTGCTGCCAGTATCGGGTGAGACGTTCTAGGGAGGACGACAGAATAGATGAAGGCTGTAATCACGCAAATGTGCTGTACTGGCAGCTTATAGCCCTATAGAAACGTTACTGAATGCACACAGCCAAACTCTTCGGACGCGATTTTAAGTGTTTGTCCAGGGGTATCGTATGCTGGCCATGTCCTTCCTGCCCGGCAGGACGTAGATTGCAGTGAGTCGTCAAGGGATAGTTTGGTAAAAAAGTAATGTTGGGGAATGAGCAATTTGCAATGCCGGCCTTTAGTGCTAACCCCGTCGCTTAGTGCATCAGGATATCGTGTGCAAATCGCCGCACACGTGACGTGCGACTAGATGTATTTTAAAAGGGGCGCAGCACCTGTGCAAATCACCGCTAAAGCCAGCCAACCATAATTCAGGGAGACAATGTCGCAGGATCGACCGAATAAAATGGATGTGTATGTCGAATAAATGTTTTGTTAGCTTTTAATAGCCCTGTGACGATGCTTTTCAATACACATACCACTAAAATAATTATTCAATTCGACGCCATACGTTGTATATGTCTGCTGCTGCCAGCCCGTCAGCATTGAGCGTGGTAGGGTCGACTTCATGAAATGAATGCCCGGTTCGGTAAGCGCGTTGTTTTGTGCAACTGATTACAAGTATTTGCAAGACAATAATGAGCATCTCTCCGGGCATCCGTATACTGACCACCACGCTATGCGCCTGTCAGACACATTGAGCAATCCAGCAACTCAGTGCAGAGACCATTTGAACAAAACAGATGATGTCGGCCGATGACCGATTCGCGACCAAAAGTGCTCCCAAAATGGCATCGCGTGCGCTTTTACACCTCCCGCATCCGAATAAAAACATTTGAAATTGAACGCTATTCCTTTGCGAATTTCCGCTGCGGCCGCCCCGGCATCATCGAGTGAGACGTGTACTGAAAGCTGACAGCGCTATATCAGCGCTATTGAGTGCATACAACCGCACTCTTCGCGCTCAACGATAAGCGTTTTGTTCCCGGGGCCACCATATCCTGCCCATCACTGCATTGGCCGGCCGGCTGCGATTGTGCGCCGTCGACGGGTGATTAGAACAAAATTTGAGATTCGACGCAATACCTTGGCAAATCTGCGCCGTGGCTGCCCCACCAGCATTGAGTCAGACGCTATCACTGAGTCGGCTGAATAACATGGATGCCGTAATCGGATAAGTATATGACACTGGCGGCCGATAGTCCTCTGACAGCACTGTCTGGCGCAAACAGTTCCACTCTCACGTGCGATTAGAAGTATATTTCCAGGGTCGCTGTAGAATCCTCAAATACGTTAGAAACACCCCATTAAGGCGCATAGTCAATTAATTCAATTCCGTGCGAAGAGTGCTACCGTGTGCATTCCATGACGGTGCTGTAGGGCTTTAAGTTGGCGCTACAGCATACTTGTTTGATGAAGGAATCTATTTGTATATAGAGTTGATCCCCCAACAACGCACACTTCAACGGTGAGTGGACATCAGAAGGGACTATTCGCGAAGTCACAGCGCCTATAAAACTTCGTCTTTTTATACCAACCAACCGTCAGTACACGACTAACCCATTATGGGAGCGCTAATGCCGGCGTTGGAGCCTGGTCACCGGCCGACAGTTTTTTGTTGTTTTTTTTTGTTCATGTGATCTCTGAGGGCCCATTATGAAAGGGAGTATTCCTCAGCTGTATGTAGTTTTGAAATGAAAAAGCCATCTTAAAGATAATTCGGTGCAGTTCACAGGCGCGCCCTTATCAAAACCTAAAGCCACCTAGTTTCTGAGTTACACGCCCGCAAAGTTGTGCAGACTTTTTCGTGCCGACTATTTCAACGCCATCCAGCCATGTACGTCGCCATGAAACCAGTGTTCAGCTCCTGACAGTCCTTTTGCCATGCGGCGTTCAAAGCCAAGAAGAATATAATCGCCGAGCCGTTCATATGTGGCGTTGACCGTCAGCACGATTTCCAAATACAACAGACGTTGACTGACTCTCAATCAATGTTGTGCAGACCGTGCATGCTACGGCGGCCAATTACAAATACGTATTGCCTTGCGCGGAGGGTGGAGTCGTGTGCTCACTGCATCGATATGGGAGCACTATCGTTTGACAATATAAAACGAACGTTAATCGGTGTGTATCAGCTGTTGTGTCCATATGAGCTCATGACAGCGCAATGCTACATGCGGCGGGCCTGACGTAGGATGATGGCCAGAATACGATGGCTCGGGAAAGTAGTGCGACCATGTGCATTTGAAAGCATCGCTCTTGGCTTCCAGATGGCATTTTAGCATGGTTGTCGGGCATCGGGCAAAAGCATCAACTTTACTCGGTTGACCCAATGACATCGCATCTCTCAACGCTGCTGGGTCAGTCGCAGCGGCAATGCCTAAGCTTGCGGTGGTCAATTCGACATACTTGCCGCGCGCGACGGGTGCGGCCGTGTGAACGCGGATATCGCTGTGGAAGCGCTGTAAGCCGGTTATGTAAGTCGGAAGTCGGCTGACGTCACCTATTTTATTGATTTGACCCCCTGGCCGCGCGTTACTCAGGTCGGCGGCCCTGTATCGTGCTAGCCAACATACGGCATCCCTGGAAAAAAACTCATTCTCGCGTGCAGGGTGCGAGGATTGCCTGATCCGCACGAACTGCCTGACGTCATAAAGCGCCATATTGGCCATATCAGTGCAAGTTGGTAACCTTGTTCCGAGGTGCACACTACGCGTAACCCGTGGTGCCATTCAATATCCCTGCCGAACCCCGAAAACCCCGAACCCAGACCCATTCCAACACCGAGAATGATTAAAGCTGTGTCGTGTCGTATAAACGTGTCACCGACCGCCAGGGCCATTTCGAGATGGGATGCCTTGATTAGATACCCGTGGGAGGTGATAGAAGTGTGGCCGGGACCCGAAACCTCGGACCAAAAATCCGGAGACGGGCACCCAGCCACTTCACCATTACCGCTCGCCTCTCCAAACAGGTTTCGATAACGCCCACACTATTTTCTGTTGACTACTGAACCGTTATGAATAGCACTGGTGAAATATTCAACGGGTTCATTTCATACCTGGTTCCTTGAGCTCACTCATCCCTAAATACAAGAAACTTGCATGTTCCGGTGACATCTGCATCCTGTCTGAGATGAAAAAGATAAACCAGAAGAAGAAAAGAAAGCGACACAAATTGGGCTTAGAAATCAAGTGAGGTGACTTTCCTTAGTACGTGGGGACTTTCGCCAGCGGCACGCCCCTAACCAAGCTCCTGGCTGCGCCCCTGCTTCATGTTACGATACCCAGTGGTTTGCACACAATGCCGCGGGCATCGGTCGTGTATTCACAATCCAATGTCATTCTCGAGCACCACGGAAACTGCTTAGTATCGTCTGATGAAGCATGGGGATAGCTATATCCTGCACCAGGTGAGTATTAACGCTACCGCGCGAGATGCACATCGGGACACCGCCGAAGACGCAAGGCGTACAACGGGTCGCAACGCAGCAGCGTTCCGCTAGCAGATGTCGCTAGAAACGAAAGCCATCGGACATCTGCTTAGGACATGCAATTCCTATGAGGAATACAAAGAACGTAACACGTACACCAAGGCCAGAAGCAGTGGCGAATGGCCCATAACATTGGCCGTAACGTCCGACGAGTAAAATGTTCAACATAATCGCAAATTCCCAGAGGACTACCCGTCCGGCTGGCTGCAGCGGTGCCGCCACTTTCTGAAAACCCAAGCGTGTAGGCACGTCAACACCGCCTAGGTGTTGACACGCCGCAGCAACTGGCGCCCCTCAGCTCGTACTGCTTACCCCTCACGTCTGACATCGCGAGAGGGGTAGCCTTATAGATCCTACCTCCGAGTGACCTTAAAGTACGTGCCCTGAACTATCTGCGAACCACCTTCTCAAAGAGGCCTGCTACAACAAGAACCCTCTCCTGTTTCTGCTAGCATCGTTTGCTACTATCTGCTAACATTATTCGCCTGACCACCGCGTAGGAGCCCCAGAAGTAAACAACTATCTACAGCCCTGTTAGTAAACCCCGGCACGTGTCCATTGGGAGGTCCGAGTTCTGCTGCCGTCGTCATGGATGGGGCAGGGAGAGGGCCAGGGCGGGGCGGGGCGGGGGACGGCGGTAATTGCGCGAGCCGGGCCGGGCCGGGCCGGGCCGGCGCACGCGGCGGGAGCGTTTGTACCGGAACACTGAGATCAGGAGTGCGACTGGCAAGAGAGCGTGGCGTCCACTACACAGCCAACAAACGAGCAACACGGCGGGGCCGGCCGGCGCTCTCACGGGCGCGGCCAGAGCGCAGTGACGGCGGGGGCAGCGCCACCTGCGCGCCGTCACAGCCCGGCCCGGTCCCGTGAGGGTGCCTGCCGCCCGCCCACTACCGCATTGCGTCCCTGTAGGAGAGGACAGCTCATACGCCGCGTCTATCACAGGTCACGGCAGTCGCGGACACCCCAGGGGCTGGCGGCCACCTGAGGCGCCTGCGCCTGCCGCCGAACTAGGCTACCGTGGGCGAGTGCTCGCAGCGCGGGGCGTGTCCACGGCCCGGCCGCCACGCTACGGCACGGCACCTCCGCGCCAGCGCCGCACTGCGAGCACCGCGCCCGGCGCAGCCATCAAAACAAACGCCTCCTACTGCCAGCGCGCCGCCTCAGGAGATGTTGTCCACGCCCGTGTCGATGCGGCGGCCGCGCCGCCGGGACCAGCCCCGGCTGCGGCCGCGCGCACCCCGCCTCCCGCGCCCGCCCGGTCCGGGCCGCGGCCCGCCGACGCCCGGCCGCCGGCGCCGCGGCCGCGCCGCCCACTAGGACGGCCAGCAGTCGAACAGGCCGTAGACGAGGTCGTAGCCGCGCACGCTGCAGTACTGCAGGTCGCGCTGCGCGTACTTGGGCCGGATCGACGGCAGGCACAGCTGGCGAGTGAAGGCGTTCGCCTTGGACGTCTGGAAGGCCCCCAGCGGCGTCAGTCGGGGCGGCACCACTCCCAGAGCCCCGCCCCCGGGCCTGCTCACGACGGAGATGTCACGGGCCACACTATCAATCACACACACGCACGCCACGCGCAGCACGCCGTGTCAGGCACTGAACCAAGTGCAAAGTCAGGCATACAAGCTTGCATGACGCATGAGGAATGAAAACGCCCAGAGTTCGTGCTTCCAGTGCATGTCCATGGGCGTCATGCAATTTTACAAACGTTCTCACCGTCTGACACGGACAAAATGAAACGTTTTGACGCCACTGATTCGCACCAGCACAATGAAAGGCATCAGCGAAAATACGAGGCATCAGGCGCAATACGGTGGCGTCGGCGAAAACACACCTTGTTGGCAAAGACGGTCACGAGCACCTTCCCGGGCTTGAAGCAGTCGATGACACGGTTGATGACGTCCTTGTAGCACGACTGCGGGATGTTGGTCTCGAACGACACGTAGCTGAATCCAGGCTCCGGCGTGATGTGGATGGTCACGTAGCACCCCTGGCGGACGACACGCAAACACTTACTGTCGAGAACGCTTGCCAGATGGCGCGATACCGTTGGCAATGAGTGAGCCACTAGCAATGAACCATTGTCATGACAGTCGCTCCAAAGGATAACCAGATAAATATACAGATAAATATAAGATAAATATAAGATAATATACACAAAGTGATGAACTACCCGTCGAGATCCCACATCAAACGCGAGTTCAGTCATATCCTCGAACTTGCGAGTCTCGAAGGTGGAGCAAATTAAGTAACATTCGTTTTCGACCACAACGGAAAACGACGCAAACGAATAGTTCTTGTCATTCAAGATGCATGTGCCGCAACCAAAAACTGGCCCAAAACCGCCTCCAGAGTGCAATTACGTACGCTATGTCGATACACATACCACACAGACCACATTGTTCCAGAACACAACCAAGCCACCTGAATTTACTAGGCGCTAGTGCGAGCATGAGCATGAGCACGGGCACATGCGTGGATTGGTCTAAACGTTAGATTAGTAGCAGTCGCTCCTGGGGTGCGCGAGTATGCTGGAATGGTCGCAGGACAAACACACAGGCGTTGGGGGGAGCCAGTGCGACGGCGCCGGTGTGAAGCGTAGCAATCCGTAACGTCACGTGATCGGGGCGCGGTAAATGTGCCCAAATCCAGACAGAAAGCCTTCCCATGACAGCAGCCACGACTCGTACGGTGACACAAATGTGCGGGCGACACAAGTCCTCTCAGGGTCTTGCGTGAAACGAGTCTGCCAATGCAACAACAGCGCGAAAAGCGGGCACAGGAGGGGGGAGGGAAGGGGGGGGGGGGGCAGGAGCCGACGGCACGTCAAGCTTATAGCGATCTCGTGGCCACGACGGGCGCGCTGCGCCACAGTCCCATCCTGGCGCGGCCTGTGCCGAGGCATGGCGGATAAGGGGTGTGAGCACTCCGCGCACTCGCCGCGTACTTACAAGATCGTATACGTCCTAGCCAGCCGGAAACGGAGCACGCGTTAACCATTACCCACGCTTAATAGGGTACAAGGACATGTCAGACCGGCGTCTGTCATACGCCGTCAAAAAACTTTCTTGGGAGGGGTTTCGATGTCACCGCTGAAACTGTTACATTCAATTCCCCGTCTGCTATCGCGCGATGGGAGCATTAACCTGCCACAAAACACAACACTGGCACTCTTAAATCGAGCTCTCCATAGGTTGTGGCTGCCTCCGGTTTCCCTCAAAAACGATCCGTACCCCTTGTCACCCCGGCTGCCACGCCCACACTTTCATTGAGGCACTAAATTATGGGCATGACGATTGGGGTTCCAGGACGTGCAGACTTTTAAAGTCATTTTGCGCCCAGGTGATGACCCCCCGGCTATGGGTTCCACAGCCGGCGGAACGGAGCGCGCTGGCAAGCTCCACTGTGTTCAGGAAGCAATGAGCGCCGTTGGACATCTCTGCACGAAAGCAGAGCGGAGGTGCCACACCCCCACTTACTGTGACGCCTGCTGTGATCTGCGACAGTGACCCGACTGTTGCACTTCAGCAGCTGGCATACTGGAAGAGGCCTCGCTTCACTCTCTTCCTGAATGTTTAATGAAAAGCCGGCAACCCGAGCTCCATAAACATCGATAGCTTACGGCAAGCCGTTGATGATATTTACGGTCACGCGACATACTTCGGAACTAGACGCAATTTAAAACCTGCTATCACACAGTGCCTGCCCAAATTCAGAAACACCGCCCAGCCTTCTCGTCCCAAGCATCAGCTCCAGCCCCATACACAGATGTACGGAGCGCACAAACCCCATTAGTACAGCCATTATCGTCATCGACGCTGCATGACTACACGCAGTCAATACGCTCGCAAATCCCAAACCCTCAGCACGCGCATCTCATCGGAGGCTCGGCTGCTACTGCTCAGGATCAAGATATTAACGGGCGCTTGCAATCCAACTAGCAAAACATGAGGAAAATGGAATGACGTAACGATATCAATAAACTCCCCGTACATGATGGGGAAGAGGTAGCCGTTGCGACAAACCTCTTCCTGTCCGGCAGACATTTCGGCTGGATTTTGTCCGTAAGCCATTGTTCGTCGAAGGAGACTCAACATAGAACGGGTGTAAACCGCAAGGCTCTTTCCGTCCCGTCTGCACACCGCATGAGGCAAGTCCAAACAAACACACATAGGGCGGCACCCGTTCGTCAGCGGGCAGCCAGAGTTAGCCTCGGCCGGCCACTGCGGAACGACACCGCCCAACGGAACAAGCCGTGACCGCCGCGTCCGTTACCCGAGGACTCCCATGGGCTGAGCCCATCTGCTGACCTGACCTTGGCCCCACGCTCCGCCCAGCCCGTGCTCATCCCCCGAGCGGTCACCCACATTGTCCAGCAGGCCGTTCATGGAGTAGCCGCACGGCTCGAACAGCACGTCGTCGATGTTGACGCCCGGCAGCAGCAGGTCGATCCCCGAGCGCTGGAACGGCCCGGACACGGTCAGGTCACAGCCGAGTCGACCACCGACAGAGACCAGGCGCCGCGGCCACGACGGCACGAGACACGCCACGGCACCACACTCCTGTCTTGATGGCGTGCGGATCTGACATCTCGCGGCGGTTTTGTGGAAGGTGTTATGCCATGCCTGATTACATCACGAGGTTTCAGAATGAGTGGGGGTAAACGTTTCACCGACTGCCAGAGCCATTACGAGACGGGATGCCTTCATCAGGTACCATGTTGGATGCGGTAACGGCGTGGCCAAGACCTGAACCCAGGACACTGACTCCCGAGACGAGGACCCTAACCACTACACAATCACCGCTCCCTCCATCACGAGTTTTACCAAACTCCCCTTAAAGCCGGTTGTTTTGCACCAAGTACCACAGCTAACCCACGGCATTTCAGCAGAGGTATCGCACAGTCGGACTGGATAACGGTTAAGTCGTTCACGCAAAGGCCTTCACGCGTCGGCTTGGGCGGCCTGATGTTCGGCACGACACCTCACCTTGGTGGCCTCCGCGGCGGTGGCGCACGTGCTCTGATAGAACAGCCCCATCACGTCCTCGCCCAGGTCGGTCATGACCACTTCCAGCGTCTGGTCCGGCTGGCGGCGCGTGGGCGCGTGCGGCGGCGGCGCCGGCAGCGGCGCCATACGGCCGCCCGCCTGCAGCGCGTACGGCCGGTCCAGCGTGAACAGGTACCAGCAGTCGCCGTTCATCTTGCCCAGGCAGTAGGCGGAGCCGGCTGACGAGGGGACACGCACGACTGTCAGCGACGCCGGCGCAGGCCGCGCACGTCCGGCCGATGGGCCGGCGGACGCGTGCGGCACTGGTCACACACGTCCGACGCTGGCCGCGCACGTCCGGCCGATGGGCCGGCGGACGCGTGCAGCACTGGTCACACACGTCCGACGCTGGCCGTGCACGTCCGGCCGATGGGCCGGCGGACGCGTGCGGCACTGGTCACACACGTCCGACGCTGGCCGCGCACGTCCGGCCGATGGGCCGGCGCTACGTCGGCTTCATAAGCATGGCGGCGGGTTTGTGGCTTTACCCAGTGAGAGGGAGAGAGAAAGAGTGCACGAACCGCGTTGACTGGACCATTCCAAGGCCCTGGTTTAATGGTAGTTTAGTTCGGAGTGGCCGATCCAAGCAGCTTAGACGTTGACCGGAAGCATACTCAAGTCAACACAATGCACTAATCGGGGTTTCCTTTCGAATTCCCTGCGCCAGCTGGGTCCGCATGCCGCCGAGCTCGCCTGCAGCCGCACTCACTGGGGAACATGTCCTCGAGGGCGGCCACCTCGGCGCTGAAGCTGCGATGAGTCTCGTCCTGCAGGTGCGGATGACGGAAGTTCTTCCGCGAGTAGAAAATGTCCTGCCGGCGACACGTCCCAGTGTAAGCCTAACTGGCTGTGTTGCCCTTCCACCAGTGTCTCCAGGAGCGACATATGACTCACGTTTTACGGCGCTGTCTGCGAGTTATATTGCTGGTATTCATCACTCGGGTTTCGGACTCCTCGCAAATTGCAGTTTCATAACGGGCTCGCTACTTTTCTCCTCGTTGTTTATTGAGACTTTCGGGCGTGCCAATCACAGCGGTCATTCTACGCCCGCAACGGGTCTCGCTGCAGTGTTCAACCAGCCGGCAAGTGACATGATGAACAGAATGACGATTGAGCTACGACTATGCCAGGCACCGGAAGGAAGGTCGTGGTGACAAGACCGAAGCCAGGCATTCGACCGTCCAATCAGCCGCCGTTATGTTACCCGCACGGCGCCGCACCTGTGGGCAGGATGAGGAGCCAGCAGGACCGCCCGAAGCCCGACAAACACGGATCGTCCCTGGGGCGGTAACGACACATTCCATTCAGCACTGGGGGTTTGTGGGTGCGGAGCACGTGGCAGCGCGGTGCCTGTGCGGCCGCCCTGCCTTGCTGGGCGGCCGCACAGGTTGCCTGGGACTGGTTTAGCGGCTCGTGCGCCCCTCGCGCGCCCCGCGCCCGCCCCGCGGCGCCGCATTCGCGCACGTCCCACTCACCTCCACCTGGGTGAAGCTGGTGTATTGCTTGACGAAGCCGAGTAGGCGGTGGATGCACTTGAGAGGCGTGGTGGTGCCGCACGTCTTCAGGATGAAACGGCAGCGCGAGATGAACATGCTGCTCTCGCTGCAAACCCGCCCCAGGCATCGTCCGGTCACTGCGCAGGTTTGTCCAGTTCAAGACAGCAGTCAATGTTACATAAACTGACGAGAAACTCACAAAGTCAGTTCGTTACGCGTCAGGCAACCACGAAATTCCAAACTCCTGGTCCTCGCTGTTAGGCTTAGTTATACTATGTTTTCGCTGCCTCGACAGATGAAAAAAGAACTAAATAACTTCAATGAGCCTAACTGGTCCAGAAAATACTCAGAACCATCTCAAACATGTACCCAAAACAGGCAATTACGGCAATAAGCGCCTTCGTACCAACAGTAACCAGAGAGGGCAGCGGCAAGGAGCAGTGCTCGAAGATAAACACCGTAGCTCGGCGGGCGGTGCGTCAGACACTCTGACCGACGACTGACAGACATGTAGGGTGGCGCTCATGAGCACAGCTGAGCCATCTCGTTCACGACGGGCTATTCTGTCACAAAGTCAAGCTGGAACATGGGCAGACACTACAGCATGGCGCTGTGCTCCGCCATGTCCTAACGCGTCCTTGACCACCCGCCAGAATGACATGCGATAGGGGGGGGGGGGGGGCAATCTCTCATTATTTTAGCTTTCAGTCACGTTCGAGTCACAGGATTTTCGAAAGCTGGGTGAAGGTCTCACGAATTAGGGGGCCGCAGCAGCCGTAAGTCAGGTACTTTAGGATCTAACAAGGTCACTATCCGAAAATGCGCCAATCGGAAACGTTAGCCAATGCTATTCAGCATTAAAGACATCAGCATGTTAATGGGGGCAATCTGTCGACATTTGGCTACATAAGGCATGACACGTGCGTAATCCTGTGTCACCATACCGCAGCTGGCGAGGTTGAGCCCAAAACAACGTCGACTTGAACCCAGGACAGTAACGAATTAATACGAGGAGATTCAGCACGCTGACGGTGTGATTGTTGGACACGTTGGTTGGTTATTAAAGCTTTCGGGCGCTTGAACTCTGCGGCCACACAGCCCCCGATGATTTTCAGACAGATTATTTTGATAAGAGGGAGGGTTTCCAGACGCCCACGCGCCCATCTGCAGACATAGACGCATAGCACGCTCTCGACGGGCTTTGATGCCTTCCGCTCGTGTGCTTCCGCGAACGGCGGCGCCAGCATCTGGCGTGCGGAATACGTTGTGGTGCGGTGGCGTCCAGCACGCCACATAAAAACGAACCGTGTCTTAACAGAATGACGTCAGCAGGTCACTAAGCCATGCACAGGCGTGTCTTCACTGGGCGGGAGCTCTGTCAAGTCACAGGTCCTTGTCGGTGCTGCCAGTCGGTGTTCACGATGGGTCTTCCGACTGTGCTATACCGTAACCTTAATAAGCTGCAGACCAATTCCATTTACTGGACTGGTTTTTGCTTTTGGCTTTTGTTTTCTTACTGGCTTTTGGTTTACTGGACACCTCTGGCTTGAAGATACACCAAATATTGTTGAATGGTTTGTTTCAGTGCCAATATCATTTCACAACAACAAAAACAAACTGATCGGACAGATGCCCATCTAACATGCATGTTAGCACATAGCATGTGCATGCCAAAGTAGCCCACAAAACCCTTCCCTGAACAGGAATTATCAATGATGACATTGTCAGTATAGGTGCAAAAGGGATGCTTAGCTTGAACCCTGGATCACAAATTCTACAAACCATTTCAGCAACTTTAAAAAGGGAGACCAAATGAAACATACATACTTTGCAGCACACCAACAGCATGGCAGTTGTTGCCAGTCAATGTGATAGGAGAGAACAGTAAGCATGAAATAAGCATGCTCAGCCACAACAAGAGGCCCAGTCTGAACATAGAAGGAGTAATGCAGTGCAGACAGCAGCATCATCTCCAGATAGCAACTATCAGATAATGGTCATCAGATAGCAGCTAACAGATAGCTGTTATGTGAAAAAAGATAGCAGATAGCAGATAGAGGTATCTGCTGTCCCTATGATGTCTGGGCATGTTGGCTGGCCCAGCATTGCAACAATGTCTGGACCCATCATGCATTGATGCATCCCATGTGCTGCATGTGTTTTGTTGAGAAAAATGTTGTCAAACTGTACAAAAGAGGAAACCAACAGATGCACCAACACTTGGACAATGAACAAGATACTATGCATTTTCAGCCAAAAATGGCCTTTCACCTTGGCAAATCACATGCTAAAGAAAATCGTGCTGCACAGGTAGCAGTCACCATTGCACAGCAGGTTGCTGTAGGCCTGTGGCTGACCTGAGAACATAGGCATCAACCAGGCTGCTCGACCTGGTGCTGATGATCTCGCACTTGGCATCTTCCATAAGCTGGTCCAGTGCCTCCCTGTCAGACACAGACACACAGCACTTCTGTCAGAGATGGCAGCAGTTTTAATATCAAAAGGCAGGATTTTGAGTCTGTTCTTTGCAATAGTGCACAGTTCAGATCTTACTGATAGGTACTGTTGACAAAATAAATGACAAGGCACATGGGAATGACATTTCACCGCCAGCATGGAATATTGCACATCATTTATTTTAGGATGGACATAAAATAAAACCATTTAAGCTTAAGTGGCTAACACAGCTGTAGGGAGAAAACCAAAAATGCACCTGGTGGTAAGTCTCTCTTGAAAACCTCCAAACACAAAGTCAAAGCCAGGAATGGCCCCAGTAAGCTACAGCTTTAACTAATACCATGAAATACGCCATCTCTCAGCCGGCACTGTTTAAATCACATGATTAAGCACTCTGCAGTAAAACCTAACTTTGCAAACATGGTAGGGTATAACACTGCTCAGCCCAAGCTGACGTAGTGCTAAGGAGTAAGAAGAATATCCACACCTGGTAGTGGTTCCCATCAAACATGCATATGTACAAATAATTAATGCTTTCCAGGTGATGAGAAACAAAAAGCAGATTACCTGGGGATTGCTCTCAGATCACAGTTCTTGTTGAAATGGTCAGAAGATGAACCCACCCAAACTTCCAGCAGTTTTTCCACACCCTCAAAGAAGTGTTCCTTTATGTCTTCTTTCATCTTGGGCCTGCAATTAAATATGCTTATTAGCTATGTAAACACACAAGCTTCTAAATTTTATTCATCCTAGTATCTCACTCTTGACCCAATTTATATATCCTAACAGCTTAATTATGGAACCTGCACTCTAATCTAAGTTTGCAAAACATCTATCCCCTGCCCCTCTACACATCAATGAGCTGAATCCCTTCCTTGTGTGCACTGAACTTATGCAAAGCCAAATTGCCCTAGTTCTCAAATCATTTTTCCATGAAATAATTAAAAACATTTAAATATATTGGCAAAATCACAATCCCTTGAAACATTGGGTCTTTATACACTGACATGCATCAAACTCAGATTTGCTGTAATGTGCTCAGATTTATGGTGTACATGCCCTGGTATTTTTGCATTGATGTGACTATTGCATTAGACATCTTCACTGTAGCATACATTCTTTCACAATCCAGTTCCAATCCACCCAAGTCTGACACGCATTTCTACAAGCAAGCTTCATAACCAAAGCAAAAAGGGCCCCAATCACCTACAGCCAGACTGCAAACAAATACATGTTACACTGCACATGTCAAGCATAGCAATGACATCCCAGCAAAAATTGCAGATAATGTAAATCTCCTAGAGGACAGTGCACAGTCAAACCTACTTTCAGTGCATGAGGAACTCATGTTTCAAGAGGTTGTGATATCGCAATCACAATTTGTTGCACAAATCCCTTAAAATATTTTTAATTTCGACATTTTGTGATAATTCAACGCACGCTGGCCTGCGACCGGCGTAGGTGAGCCCGGAGCTCATCACACCAATGTCACGTAAACGTCCGACGCAGTGGATGGGTTTATCTCAGACTGGGTCTGCGGCAACATGCCCAATTTAAGTTCGCCAGGAAGAAGCCGCTCACCTGACGCCTCTCACAGAGAGCTAACTAACAATGAACCTGATCTATCAAAGTTGGTTGATTTGCCGCTGCCTTTCAATGCGGCCCGCACATCCAACCCACTAGCGCGAAACGAAATGCGCCCAGGCAAGGCCTATGTATATAATGCAAAATCACCAAGCAATTTTTGTGCACCCCACGGGAACCACTCCGTGATGTCATTGGGAGCAATTCCGTTCGCCGCCCGCCGCGGACATTTGAAGTGCGGCTTGGTTTTCGTCGAATCGCTGACACTTCTGTCCGATTTTACCGTACACAGTATCGTACCGTAGGTCACGTTTTATGAGAAAAGGAAAGGACGCCTGTAATAAGTGATTTGGAGTCGCAGACAAGCACGATGATCTCAGGCCGGTTCTCAGGGTCGCGAGACAGGTAAGCAGCCTGTGAGCGTCGCGGCCCGGGGCGCAGTTTCACACACACACACACACACACACACACACACACACACACACACACACACACACACACACACACACACACACACACACACACACACACACACACACACACACACACACACACACACACGCACGCACGCACGCACGCACGCACGCACGCACGCACGCACGCACGCACGCACGCACGCACGCACGCACGCACGCACGCACGCACGCACACACACACACAAATGGAGGGGTTGAGCACTGGGAAAAGACTCAATCTGCCCCAGAATAGGGCTTCAATAGGGCAGAACAAATAGGGCAGATATAGGGCAGAACAAATGGGCTTCTCCCCGGATTTGACCCATATTCTTCTAAAAGTTGGGGGCTGCAGCCAAGTTGGAGTGGGGGCTGAATCACTTCAGCTGAAAAGGGAACTGCAACCTTGGTCACGACAGCCCATCACTCCAATTCTCTCGCAAAACTCCTTTCAAAGATTACCGCCTACCGGGTTGCTGTATGACGCAGAGGCCGGCACGTTTCCACGAGGCGCCGCTAACTTGTTTCTCTCAGCGATGAGGCCAGCCGGGACAACTCTCTTAGCATTCTGATAACTCTTCTGCGCAACGAGAAGTCCAAGCCGCGGCACGACGGCCAGGCAGGCAGACAGGGGCACCTGAGGGACACCACAGAGGACGCCTCCTGTAGTGTCATGGTACGCCGGGACACTCTTCTAATAGAACAGAAAGCCCGTTTTTTCAGGCGTTACGCATCCTAGAGACGCCGCGTTGTGTGCTGCTGCTGTCGCGGTGTAGATCCGCACCGCACAGGCTGGAGCCCCTCTCTCGCCCAGTGGCGGATTCAGGATTTCGTCAGGGGGGGGAGCATTGTGGGCCCCTAGAATTTTAAGCCTAGCTTATTTACGGCTAGCCGACTAGTCCATGTGATCCGCTGATGGCTTGTAACTAAGGCAGAGTTTTTGCTTTGACTGCTACAGAAGTGTAACAAGTATCCTGACATTCAAATATTCTAAGAACGTAATGCGCAAGTATCATAAGTGTCACAAATTCAATAACCAATGGAAACGACATGCGCGACATCGGCGATGCGTAACATTATGCTCGAGAACTACGTATAAAAGTTCATCGGTTCATCCTGTGATCTCGGACTTGTGCACATGAAGTAATGTTTAGTGAGGCTTGTACAAACGAGCAGGCAAAACGCTCTGGTGCTCGCAAGCGCATGTGGGGCTTCCCGCAACAGAATAAAATCCTTCTGGCGTCATCGGAAGAGCCCACGACTAATGTGAAGAGCCCCGGAGCCATCAAGCGTGCCCGGCTGATTAAGATCTAGGACAGGGACGGTGGTGGTGTAACGGGTAGGGCACTCGATTTGAGCCTCTTGGTCTAGGGTTCGGGCCGCGGTCACGCCACCACGACATCCAAAATGATACCTAATAAAGGCATCCGTCTCGAAATGTCCCCAGCAGTCAGCGAGACGTAAAGCTTCAATCGTTATTATTGAGATTTATATCCCCGTCAACGGTGTAGGCTCTCCTCTAATATGGGAAAACCCAAAACCAATAGCGACGACGCCTGAGCGATCGAGGGTGCCGCGGCAGGCCAACAAAGGGGCTCCCGTCAACTGTCTCCTCAACTCAATGTAGTGGGGCCTCTGAACGATCGGAAGTATCTCGGCAGGCTAACATATGGGACCCGGCCAGAGCACAGTACCCTCTGAGTAAAGAGGAACAACCCAGGAACTGCCCCTGTGCGATAAAGACCGCCCGGGCAGGTTAGCAGAAAGAGTGAAGGGTACTCCGCAAGTGAGCTCAAAGAGAAAGAGCCCTAGATCAATGTAGAAGTTCCCTGAGCATCAAGTGCCTCGGTGCTTTATCTTACATGGGCCCAGCAACAGCACTGGGCCCTCCGAGCAAGTGGAAAGCACGCGATGCCAATATGAAGGCCCCTAAGCAACTGAATGTAGTCCGATATACCGGACTTCGCTGATAGCGCACCGAACCTTTCGGGTGAATGTGAAGAATGCATGGAGGGCCCTTGATTGATCAAGAACGGCCAGGCATGTTAGCAGATAGTAGGACCCTACTATGGTAGGACCCTTCGTGAAAATAGGAAGTATCCAAGACACAGTGTGCACGGCCCCCAAACAATCCAGCGTGGCCGAGCAGGTTGGGAGCCCGACAAGAGCGTAGGGCCGTCCAATAAAATAGGAAACACTCAATACCCAACGTGGAAGACCCCCGATCGGTAGAGTGTGCTCAAGCAGCTTAAAAGATGGCCCCCGACAAGAGCAGGGGGCCCTTTATTATAATAAGAAATGCACGAGGCCCAATGTGAAGGGCCTCCAAACGATCGAGTGTGCCCGAGCAGATTAACTGATGAAGCCGCCCGACAGGAGCGTAGAGCCCTCCGCAAGTGGCAGGAAATTGGAAGGGCCGTAGACTAATGTAGAGGGCCCATGAGCATGTGGTGAATGTGTCGGTAGGCTAACAGAAACCAACGTGGAAGGACCCTGGGCAAGCTAGAATATCCCAGCAATTTCGGATTGACCTTGCAAAGGAACACATAAGGCCCCCAGGAACATCGCACAACCTCTGAATATCGTAAAAAGCCTTACACGTGCTCGGACGGGAGTCAAATTCGCCCCTCCGAAGGCTTTTCGTTTTTCAAACGGCGCGGCGCTGCCGCGAAATTTGGCGGCGCTGCCGCCAAATTTCGCATAACTGTACATAAATAGCAAATCGTTCAGCATAAAAATTTATACCCATCTTGTAAGGTCGCTGACCTATGGCAGGTCAAAGTCAGGCCATGGTTTCAGCAAAGTCAATTTCTGGGAAATCGTTCAATCTGATGCAACGACGGAGTGCTAGACGAAGCCATACATTTTTTAGATACGTTCTAAGGTAAGATAACAATTGAATGAACAAATTGCATTAATCTAGGGTCAGGTATGAAGGTCATACCAAGGTCAAAACCAACCTGCTTTATTACTCTAGACCTTGCTGCGTGGGGTAGTTTCTGGTGCTCATTGCAAGCTTATTGATAACAGGAGCCGCATTACACGTCTTCCATGGACCTGTTAAAGGTCGGAATAGGTCATTGACCTAAAGCGGACCTGGTCAGCATTTTGTTTTTAAGAGCATGCCACTTAGTATAATCTTTGTCGCTTATTCGAATGCAAAACTCAAATAAGTCCTGTATGACTTTGGTCACCACGACCTCCAAAAGGTCAAAAAAGGGCAATGGCTCTATATCAGCATGTGACCTTTTGTCTAGAATAGCTATCTAGGTTTTGCAGGCATTTTGGAGACCAACCCAGAGTTAAGCTTCGTTTGACCTTATTTAACCTCAAGATGGTGACCTGGGAGCCTCAATAGTTGACCTAAGTGATTGTATCAGCTGACCTAAGTAACTAAGGATGGTGCGAGTAGGTCACCAGGCTTCCAATCCGGTCGCATGATCGGCGGGCCTCCAGCATCCCGGCCCGGTGTCAGGCGTTACTGTTCCACGACAGTTTACCTCCTACACAAAACGCCACACTACAACTCGGATCAGTCACCAGTCTCCACGCCCGGTGCCATCATCGGAATCCACACCTCGCAGGCAGCACTGGCGGAGCGATCGCGCCCACGCGGCTACGGGTCGCGCATCCAGCGCCACCACGGCCGTCGCCGCCACGGCAGCCGCCACCGCCGTCACGGCCGCCGGCTAGATACGGCCACCCGGCCGGCCATGCTGTCCAGCCAGGTCGGCAAGCCGTCGGCACCCGATCCCAGCGTGGTCTTGGCTACGCAACAGGCTACTCCGGGCCTCTTCGAGAAGAGCAGGTTAGATTTTTCTGGGCGGCGCGGTTAGGCTTGAGAAGTGGTCATGTACGAGCCTTGAGGAGTATGGGTGTTGTATACTACCCACGCCGTGGCAGCGGACCCTGGTGAAGCAATCTCCTCTGGCAGCGGTAGACCCGGACGACGAGCTCTCCTCATTTAGTCTGGAACGCAGCCAGGGCCTTGACAGGGCAGTGGTGGTGGTGGGGAAGGGGGGGGGGGCTCAGGGTTGAGGAAGACCGCTCAAGATAGCCGGATATGGCCCGCTCGTTGATAAAGGGCTCGGTTTTCTTTAAGTAATACAGAGTTAGTTAATAAAGATTAAAGCAACTTATTCAGGCAATAAACTGAAGAAATTAGGCCATGGCCAGTGTAAATCACTGCCCCCGGTTTTGTCGCTGCTTATGAAGTGGGCTCCCAGGCCCACACAGACACGTAGCTGACTGCTATGTTGGTGGTACCTGTCCACCACACAGGCCTTTATAGAGTCATGGAGTCTCCGATGGCGCAAAAGGCCCTCTGACCGTTATTTGAGGACCTGTCCCCACAAGCCGGACCCCTGAGTAAGACTCCGGCCAGCCCTTTTTACCCTTTAGCTCTCCAATCGGACCCTTGGTCGTCGGTCCCGATAGGCTCTCCAGGCCAGGCCGAGCCTCCTCGAACACTGTCTCTGGCCGATTCGCGTCCCCTGTTAGGCACTGGGCCCCTGGCAGGCGTCAGTGTCCCGACCGATGTAAATTGCAGGCCCGGTTTTGTCTCTGATTTGGAAACGTAAGCTCAGACCCATGCCGACACGGAGCCGACAGTATGGTACTGATGGTGTCTGACCGACACATAG